TTTCGTGAACAAAAGAATTAAAACTCCCAAAAACTCTCTTATTCAGACTTACCTCTTTAACATTCATCCGGTCATTTTCACTATTTCAGGCCACCCACCTTCAGTGTTTTTGTTTGACTTCGTAAATATTTTAAATTTTGATTTTGAATTCATGGCTTCTTCGCATTCTGATGGGGGGACTTAGATATTAGCATCGTAGCCTCTGAGATGGGGATTTCAATAACTAATGCGGCTAACATTGTCCAAGCAATTATGGTTGGCCAGAGTGCTTTGCCTCCAAGGGAAGGTCTGGTGGATTACGATGCGGGTTGGGGGAAACCAAAATACCTTCAAACGTAACCACATCCGACCTTGTAGAGATAAGGGATAAACATTGCATTTCTTATAATATTGAACTCCTAGCCCCATCTCCTCACGAGCGAACCTGCTTTCTAAGGTAGGGTGAGTGGCTATTAGCGAGTTTCTTCTGAAGGTAGACTTCGTCTACCCCTTCAACCTTTCTTTAGAGCTATATTGAAGTTGTACGGGATCGTACCCACCCAGCTCATCCCCAAAACTTGGGCCCAGCTAGTAGGGACCTACTTCTTGTGGAATGAGACTTCTTTAGGAGAAGACATGCCCATCCATGTCTTCCAATCTATCTTCCAACCCAGGTTATCGAGTAAATGGGACTCTAAGGGTTGATATTCCTTATGTCCGTGGGGAGCTCACTCCCCATTCGTCATAGTTCTTCCATCATCTATCAAAAGATGGAAGGATACGTAATTCTGGGTGAGGAGGCAGTGGCAGACGTGTGAGGGAGATACGGTTCGTCACGTGATAGTTCCAACCTCCTACTCAGAAGCTCGTGAATGTCATACCTTTAGTTGCCTTTTATTTGTAGTTAATCTGATTCTAAGTTGAATGCTTCGAACTAAGCAGAGATGGGTGTTATAGATGATATTTACCTACGTCCTTTATCTTCAAGAGAGTTCAACCGTTTGATAAACTCTAAGTCATTCTTTGAGGAATTTGCTTAATGGCACAGAGGTGTGACTTTTTTCAATATAGGTTTTTACTGTTGCTCGTAGAATTGTACTGAACCTCTATTTCCTTCGTAGAAAATTTTGAAAAGATGAGACATCCCACCTCTGATAGAATCGCAAGTTGTCATCATCGTCGTCTAGGTCACAAGACCTTTGCGGAACCATCAAAGTCTTCTTCTCCTATGGCCTACGGTTCCCAATGTGGTTGGGATGGCCCTGCTCAATTTTTGGCTTGTTCTGCCCTCCTTTGACACCTATTACTGATGAAAGGTTCTGGAGAGGTTGCCATGGACAGGTTCATTCTGTCTTTCGAATCGAGGTGGTCCTTATTGCCTAGTTCTTGGTGCAATGGGAAGCTGAACCTGCCTATTTCTAGGCCCTCATGGGCTTAGCCTATCAAAGATACTTATAGATCTTTGAGGCATATCCTCTAGTTCATAATTTGGAGAAAAGTTAAATGGGACCTCATTGGGTCTGTCTGTGACATAGTTGTATCAACCCCAACTTCCTTTTCCTGAGTATCTTCCTCCATCGTGTAGTGTTGGTAATCAGGCATTTGGCTTTGGACCTCCTCTTCGCCATGGCAGTAGTTTCCTTGCGAGGGGGGTGGGGGTGGAAGAAAACATTTCCTTGAGCTGCGTATGGATGACGAGTATTTTCCTTGTCATTGCATATTCCTTAGCGGCTTGTGCATGACAATATCTTGTTGGGTTATATCTCTCATGTATGCGGCCATAGTGGCCACCTCCCTGGTGAGTCTAACGACTATTCTGGACCCACCTCATCTATGTTGCTGGTGAAATCGAAGGTGAGTTGCTAGAGCAGCATGCGAGGGTTCCCCTTCTTTAGGGTGCTCCCTAGTTCCCCAAAGCACTGACTTTTCATTGCCAGAACTCATAGCAGTGTCTTCTACAATGACTTGGCTATTTGATACTAAATGATATTCCTTTCTTTAAGGAATATACTGGACTACAGAAAACGATTCCTCTTGAAATATTTGGTGGTTCTTTCTTCAAGAACACCCCATTCGCTTCAAAGGCAAGATATTTCCTAGGGAACATACCTTCTTATCTGCTTTTTCCAAAGGGTTTTCGTGGTTTTAGTGTGATATCTCACAGATGGCACCAATCTGTTGTGCTCATTTTTTGCAATGGTTTGTGGACAATAGATGTCGGCTCACTTGCCTCCACATAAGTAAATTCCAACACGTATTGACCGAATATTTTGACGGAAAGGATGACACATATGGACGTGGAAGGTGCTCTACGAGCGAGAGAAAAATGTTCAAGCACCGACAACATATATAAACAAACAATCATAAATAACTTAACCAAAGTAGAAATAATCTAAACTTGAACAAATAAATATGGAATGAGATAGAGAAGATTGAGTAAGGTTTCAAGTGTGAAGAGTTGCATTAGATTCAAATTTTACAACAATTGCTTATTTATAGAGTTCTGGCCAAAGTGGTAGCCGTTGGATAAGAACCACATGGCCTCATCTCACAGGGCGCAGACTCACATCACTCCGTCTGCTATGCATTTAATTCATTGTCAATGGGTCAGCTGCTTTATAGCCTAGTCTGACAATCCCGACATTCATTAATATAAACGTTACATAAATCATTCCTAAAGATTTCTACAGAATCCTTAAAAGACAAAAGTTCTTCAGCCTAAAAGAGAGCTTCAGACGGGAATGGTGCTTCAGCTAAAGAAAGCTTCAGGTAGAGATAGGGCTTCGGCTATATAAGAGATTCAGAACAATGAGATAAATTTTTTCTTTGACTTCTTCATTTTGATCAATTGAATTTTTGTTGACTTTGTCAGATCTGACTCAATATTTCTACGTAGACTACGACGTGGCCTCCATTTGGAGCCTTGGTGGCGAGGCGTAAAGTCGTGTTTGGAAGTTTTTTCCACAGATTTTGGGCGGTACTATTTATGAGGGGTTAGAAAAATCTGGACTTACTAGATTTTTTGGATACCGATTTTGGGTGTTTTTAAAATCAGCTTAGCATAATTTTGACCGTTTCTCTCAACCTATCAATCGGCTGATTTCGGTCGTTTCTCATAATCTCTTTTACCTTCTATAAAATACTTATTTTCAACCAACATATTTTGTTCAAAATTAACTCGTAAATAAATTCACTAAAAAATTATGTACAAGGAAAAAATTACTTTATAATTAAAAAAATTACTTATAAGTAAATAATTACTTATAAGATAAAATATCACTTTTATTTAAAAATATTATAACTAAAAATTACTACCAATAAGATAAAAATTTACTTATAAAATATAAAAAAGCTACTTATAAGTAAAAAAATTACTTACATATAAAATTTAGTTTAAAAAGTACAAAATTAACTTATAATTGGAGTTGTCACAATAATCACTAAACTTATATTAGCTTATCAAAGTGTTGGACATTACTCACTTGTAAATGTAATTATGAGCTGTAAACGTTTTCATTGTTGCACATAATTATGGTTCATGTTTTTTTGATGATTTTTGGTGTATAAATTTTTGCTGTAGAGAAATATTTGCTGTAAGTGATACATGTTGGTTTGCTGTGGATGTAGATTAGGAATTTTTTGGGTGAATGTGATACATATTTTCGTTGAAAATTAGTCATCATGATCGCCAATAATTTCTGGCCATTTTAATTTTTTCTCTCTTCATCGTTCTGTGTTGAATTAGTAGCTATAATTGGTGATTAATATTTATCTAACAAATTGTAGATTGTTCAAGCTAACCTCAACGGGTATAATACATAAGGTGATTGGAACAGAAACGGCTTAGAGAGATCTAGCATCATGATGTTTTGGTTTTAATATGGATGAATATGTTTCTTAAATAGAATCAAACTTTCGTAAGTTCTAGCTCCCATCCTTAGTTCTCTCTTAAAAAAATCTAGCTTTGAATATATATCAAATATGAAAAGAATTATAAAAAGATTCAAGATATTGTAAAATGTCTTGAAATATTCTATTGTAACATGCTGCAACATTAAATTTTGTTATAAATGCAAGTGGTACTTGAAAAAAAAAAACATTCCTACATTTTTCAGACCAGTCGCATCAGTTTTACAAGTTTAGTGGCCAAAATTTGATTACATTAAAGTATGGTGAGCAATTAAAGACGACTTTTAAAATATAATGAGCAATCGAAAATATTTTTCAAAGTACAGTGAACAGTCAAAGATGTATTTCTTAGTGACAATTTGCATAATAGTGTTTGAGGGCCACATGTGCATTCCGTCTGCTATGTCATCAATTTCGTTAGAGTTATGAAATGAATGACATGCCAATGAATAACTCCAACAATTTGAAATTTAGTTACCAAAATTCGACATCTGAAACTTTATTGAGCAATCAAATTTATATACATAAGTTTAGTAATTATTGGGACAATTAGCTCTTATAATTGATAAATTTAATTATAAGTAAGAAATATTAACTTAAAATTTTAAGTAAAATACTAACTTAAATGTAAAAAATTACCTATAAGTAAAATATCACTCATGAGTAAAAATTTTTATACAAGAATTTAAAAATTAAAAACTTCAATAAGGGCTCATATATAATTTTATTCTCCTAAAAAATATTTAAAACTAGTGAACATAAACTCTTAAGCATGGATTTGACTGTTTCAAAAATCGTTGCTAAATTCATTCAAAATTGATCCGCTTATAAGCGCTCAAAATCGACTTGAAAAAACACTCATAATCCCCAAAAACTTCCAAGCAGCCCCTAAAGTAAATCCTAAATTTGGCTGTATATACCCATTGTGCATATAAGTAGGTTGTAGCCCTACGTCTTTACAACATCTGAGAAAAGTAAAATGAAAGGCTGAGAAACGGGCTGTAGAGGTTATTTTGGGATCATTTCAAAAAACTCATTTCACTTGTATTTCTCAAATTCTTACACTCGAGAGAGAGAGAGAGAGAGAGAGAGAGAGTATGGCACTAGAAGCAATGATATTCCAGCAAGATTTGTTTGGGCAAAGTAGCAAAGATCTGTACAGCTTATACAATTTAGTAGAAGGGAAGTGGGATTTTGAAGCTGATCCAATTCAAATAGCAGAAGAAAGCTCTTTTGTAAGTGTTGAGAATAATCTGAATTATGTACTTCCTCATCATCAAGTGATGCAGCAAGATGCGAAGGAAGAATTTGCCAACACGGTATCTGTTAGAGGAAAACGACGTCGTTCGAGGATAAAAAAGAACGTTGAAGAGATTGAAACTCAGAGAATGACTCACATAGCAACTGAGCGGAATCGCCGGAAACAGATGAATGACTACCTCTCTGTCTTGCGTGCTCTAATGCCAGATTCTTATGTTCAAAAGGTCTCTCTCTCTCTCCCCTTTTTTATTTAAAAAGTAATAGGCAAGGCACCAGTGCAATTTCTTCAGGCTGTCTAGACGTCAAGAATCTGACAAAAGTGGTTACTGGCACCTCATCTAAAATCTACAAACAGTGTGTTATTTACTTAAATTATATTTTCAACGCTGATTCACCTTTTTATAAGTAGAATAGGTAATAAAGAGACCTGAAATCTGTATAAATCTGTCAGTTGAATCACATATGTATTTCAGGGCGATCAAGCTTCAATAGTTGGTGGTGCCATTAATTACGTTAAAGAGCTGGAGCAGCAGTTACAGCTCATGGGTGGGCTGAAGAAGTATTCGAAAGAAAATCAAGAAATTGAAAGATCGTCATCACCATCACATCCATTTGGAGAATTCTTCACCTGCCCACAGTATTCTACAACTGCGATGGCTATGACTGTGGCAGATGGGACGGAAATGGCCAAGGCCGACATTGAAGTAACGATGGTAGAGAGCCATGCTAATGTCAAAATTAGATCGAAGAAGCACCCGAAAAGATTACTCAAAATAGTTTCAGGCCTTCAAAATCTGAGACTTACCATTCTCCATCTAAATGTTACAACAGTCGATCAAGTAGTGCTCTACTCTCTAAGTGTCAAGGTCAGTTTTCTTTTCACCAGTCACCTATGTTGAAAATGCAACAAAACATGGCTGGCATAAAGGGATTCAATTTTCCACAATAAATTTTGAATTTGTTTTTCCAGGTAGAAGATGGCTGCAGCCTGACTTCCGTAGATGAAATAGCAGCTGCTGTGAATCAATTATTAAGCTAGAATGAATGGGGACAACATATCTCGACTCCAAGAATCAAGTGGTGAAATTTAATGATGAAACTATTCTCTCTTATTTATTCACATTAGAAAGAAATAAAAACACTAATATAATGCAATAAAAGAGAGGGAGAAAGTCAATCGTGGTATTCGATTTCTTCTCTCTTTATTTATGTGAATTTTCTGTATTTTATCCTTTATAAAAATGTCTTTGTTTTTGGGAGAGGATCCATTTCTACTATGATAGCATATTGAGTAGGGTAGATTCAATAATATTTTAATGTATTAAGAAAGGAGAACAAGTTAAAATCTTGTGGTATTGCAACATCTATTCGTGTGTATGCTAAACATCTTATGGTTATTTGTTTCATTAGTTCATTACATGTTTCAAAACATGTTTAATTTTGTTATTTTTCTTATATATAAGTTATTTATGCTGGCATGAAATTAGCCATTACAATTCAAAGTAAGAAATTTATTTCTACCATCAAAAAAATTATTGATTTAATTGTTATAGCTCGCTCACTTAAGCCTAAGTTTGGCTAATGTTTATAAATTGCTTATAAACGTCAAATTGTTTTTTATTCATATATTTTGTGGAATTCACAAATATATCCACATAGCTATTATAACTTGTTTCCCTCAAGTTTTGATTTAAACTGATTTTAAATACTTCCCAAGCTTTTATATACAATATACAAATTTATATCAAATTCCTTATCTTTCTCATTCACTCTATAAACGTATTGGCTTATTCCCATTGTACAGAAAGGAAATTGACCAGAAGAGAGATAAACAATAGGCCCCATCGTGTATTAAAAAAGGAAAAAAATTGCGGGACCCATGTGTGTGTGAGTGTTCTGTCCAGATTCTATTGGGTTCTCTTCTAGTCATATAGCATGTCTCAAACGTATTTGTGTGTAAATGATTTTTTCGTCTCACGTGTGATATATAATACACATCCAGATTAAGGGTTCGAATCCCTCTCTTTTCGGTTCCGTTGATGACTTGATTTATTTATTTATTTATTTTTTTGATGAACATTTTTTTCCTCTGAAATAATATGTAAATTTTATATTGAAAAGCAACTCAAATCTTTTCATTTGAAAAAAAGTCAACTTAGCCGTTAAATTCGAAACCTTCCACGTTGAGCAAAAACAAGTTCATAATTATTGCAAGTAAATGTAGTCAAAAGTTATAATCAATAACTCATGATTACTAATAATAAAAATTCACAAAAATAAGACAAACAAGTGATGTAGTATCGAAATAGTGNGGACAACATATCTCGACTCCAAGAATCAAGTGGTGAAATTTAATGATGAAACTATTCTCTCTTATTTATTCACATTAGAAAGAAATAAAAACACTAATATAATGCAATAAAAGAGAGAGAGAAAGTCAATCGTGGTATTCGATTTCTTCTCTCTTTATTTATGTGAATTTTCTGTATTTTATCCTTTATAAAAATGTCTTTGTTTTTGGGAGAGGATCCATTTCTACTATGATAGCATATTGAGTAGGGTAGATTCAATAATATTTTAATGTATTAAGAAAGGAGAACAAGTTAAAATCTTGTGGTATTGCAACGTCTATTCGTGCGTATGCTAAACATCTTATGGTTATTTGTTTCATTAGTTCATTACATGTTTCAAAACATGTTTAATTTTGTTATTTTTCTTATATATAAGTTATTTATGCTGGCATGAAATTAGCCATTACAATTCAAAGTAAGAAATTTATTTCTACCATCAAAAAAATTATTGATTTAATTGTTATAGCTCGCTCACTTAAGCCTAAGTTTGGCTAATGTTTATAAATTGCTTATAAACGTCAAATTGTTTTTTATTCATATATTTTGTGGAATTCACAAATATATCCACATAGCTATTATAACTTGTTTCCCTCAAGTTTTGATTTAAACTGATTTTAAATACTTCCCAAGCTTTTATATACAATATACAAATTTATATCAAATTCCTTATCTTTCTCATTCACTCTATAAACGTATTGGCTTATTCCCATTGTACAGAAAGGAAATTGACCAGAAGAGAGATAAACAATAGGCCCCATCGTGTATTAAAAAAGGAAAAAAATTGCGGGACCCATGTGTGTGTGAGTGTTCTGTCCAGATTCTATTGGGTTCTCTTCTAGTCATATAGCATGTCTCAAACGTATTTGTGTGTAAATGATTTTTTCGTCTCACGTGTGATATATAATACACATCCAGATTAAGGGTTCGAATCCCTCTCTTTTCGGTTCCGTTGATGACTTGATTTATTTATTTATTTATTTTTTTGATGAACATTTTTTTCCTCTGAAATAATATGTAAATTTTATATTGAAAAGCAATTCAAATCTTTTCATTTGAAAAAAAGTCAACTTAGCCGTTAAATTCGAAACCTTCCACGTTGAGCAAAAACAAGTTCATAATTATTGCAAGTAAATGTAGTCAAAAGTTATAATCAATAACTCATGATTACTAATAATAAAAATTCACAAAAATAAGACAAACAAGTGATGTAGTATCGAAATAGTGCCCACAAATTTTGAAAATTTAAATTTTAGTAGCTTTCACAAGAGTATGTTCTGTTTGTAGATTGAAGAATAAAATGGGAGTACAATATAATTTAACATAACATATTTCGTAATATATAAGGAAATATTATATTTACGTTTTCATACCAAGTGAAATATAAGGTCTCTAACTTTTAATTTTGTAGGAAGTGAAGATTTCTGTATGATTACCTTTCCGTCCAAACGATCGAAAGTATGTTACACAAACATTTTCAACCTTTTGAAATCCACTAATCACCTCCAGTTATCTTATATGAACGATCCACGTAAATATAAAGTGGTTATTCGATATAAATATTGCGGTACAATCTTGTATTATTGAATTTGCACATCATCCTCTAAAGATTGCCATAAAGGTATGTTTGAATTTTGCTCTTTTCTAGGACAATAATTAAGTTAAATCTAGATACAACATGAGACAAATAAAATTCAATAAAATCTTTGTCGAATTATTAAAGTTAAGATTTTTCTAAATAATGATAAATGCTTAAGGGGCATACTTTTTTGTTTGAGAATTGTATAATGTACCTATCAAACTTATATAGACATGATGGTGCTAAATTTTCATGTATTTTTATACACAAATGTCTCTACTTGACGACAACAATATTTTTCCTCTTTTTTTTCTCCTCCCTCGGAAGAAAAAAATGTATTTTGAAAATTTTGGAGATGTGTGATTAAAAAAGAAGAAAAAATTTTGAATTTACGTGTAATATTATTTTATTTAAAAATGTGTGGTTGATAAGAAAATAAAGAAAATGAACTATATTATTTTATTGGATAATGCGTGGCAAACAAGAAGAGTGTGAAAAATGAATTATAATTTTGATGTAACCAAACAGGGCTATAGAATATATAACTAGCAAAATATTTAGGTTTTGATTGAGTCCAATTTTTGGGATAATGTATTTTAACATAGTGATTTTTAGAGAATTTGTAATTAAAAAGTATGAAAGAATTTTGGATTTATGTGCAAAATTATTTTATTATAGAATATATAATTGAAAATAAATTTGAAAAAAAAAATGAATTTTTAAATAAAGGAGTTCAAATAGGGCTTAGTATCAATAATCTATTTTGGAAATGCAATGTTGAAAAAGTAAGGGTGGAGAATGAGGTATAATTGAATGATTATTAATCATTGAGGTGTAATAAGCATAATTTAATTTATGTGATGTGTTGTTAAATCAAACAAAAAGTTTATGAAATTTGATTTGACATTCCTTGTCAACATATATAGAACCAACGGCAACGGATCTAATCCAATTTTGTTAAATCTTATCATGCCGACCATTCATTTTCTTAACTTTTAACATCACTACCAACTTCGAATACGTACGCTCATACTTTTCGAGTATTAGAATTTTTTGCACACAAAATTAAAATAAAATTGAAGGGTCCGAAAAATAAGTTTTATCTACTAGAATTTTCAACTTAAGAGGGTGTTTGGTGATGATTAAAATTAGATTTTTAGTGGATTGTGATACAAGTTTTTGAAATGTGTGGTTGAAAAGATGTAGGACCCATGAAAGATGTAATTAATATTGATTATTTGACTTTAACTTATATTAAAATTAAATTTTAATCCGACACAAACAGGTCCTAAATTTTCAGTTCACTAGCAAAATTTTCGTCACTAATGGTATAAAGTTTCGCAGTTCACTAATAGTGTAGTGATTATGAAAGATGAAGGGATCCACTATCCAATTACTCATTGTATTATACGATAAGACACAAAAATTAATTTAGTATTTTTATAAGTTAAAAAAAATAAAAAAAAGAAATTACTTTTACTTTTTATGAGTAAAAAAACTGATCTATATTCACTTCCGAATCACTAAAGTAAAGGCCATACCGCCGACCCCACAAACTTACATTAAGAAAAGCGTTATACCTTTTTTTTATTTTCGTCACGGACCCTACAGAATTATTTTCTTATGCTTTGAAAATCAGTAGGTAGCCTCGCTAAACTTCCATACAGGCAGTCATGTGAATGATTGGCAAGTGATTAAATTACAATATAAGTTGTTATAATTTGTGGATTTTATTTTTACCATAATAAGTTAGTAGTAGTTATCAAAATGTATGAATAGAAAATATGTTTAATTAAAAGTAATTATAAGAAATTACTTCCGAAAAATGCATTCATTACATTTTAATTGGACAATTATACTTTAATTTGTGCCAATTGGGTCATTAGTAAAAGACCACATAAGCATTTGACATGGAATTGGAATAAGAGACCCAAATTGAAGTAAAAATTAAAGTATAATACCCAATTGAAATTTTGGTAAAAGTATAGTGACCGCTAGTGAAATTTACAGTTGAATAGATCCTTGGTGAATTTCGATTCAAAGTGTCGGAATGTGATAAACATTAAAAACTTAATTCTACTAAGGGGAAAAGAATTGCGTGGCAGTCATTCA